ATATGGAACTTTAAATGGAGTTTATGTTACATTTGCTATTATTTTAACACGTGTTAAGTTTATACTGTTGTTTTATAGACTAAAATGATTATAATCAGTTTATTTCCTTCTTCTTGTGTTTATTTAAGGACAATTTCCTTGACGTGGAGGCACCTCTAGTATTGCCTTCCTTAGGTTATTTTGTCCTTCTAATTTAACATGATAGGCTCTTTCATTTCTATTCCTCTATCTTCTCTTTATTTCCTTACAAATACATAAATCCATTCATATTTTACACCTTCAGACAAATAGAATTATCATTTATTTTCTTTCTACAATTCTCATACACTATTCTCCATGTCTATAAAATTGATATGTCTTGGCCTATATTCAAGAATAGATGTAGGCTTCTTAATAAGGTTATTTTTTAAATACCAATACGAATAAATGATGTATCATCGGGGAAATCCGCGGTGTAATTCAGGAAAAATTGCGTCGTTCATTACAATGTGATAAATTCCGCTTCTACCTACAAAAACTAATTAGATAGCAGAGAGTAGTGCAAACGAATGGATAATACTCGTATTAAAAAGAAATTAACCGGCTTATTATTGTACCGAGACATTATAAGTTGTATTGATCGTATTTTTGTTCCGCGACGTTAAAAGGAGATTGCATGTGTCTAGATTTGTATGTTAAGATATTGGATGTGTGATGTGACAAAAATGGATAAAGTTAAGATTGTATATATTAAAGGAAGTTTGAAAGTAGTGACAGTGGTGGAGAAATTGAGAAGTAAATGTTTAGCGTGGTATGGACGTGTTATGCGACGAGACGATGGGGACATAAACCAGGAAGTGTTAAGAATGGATGTGGATGATTAAAAAGGAAGAGGAAGACCGAAGAAAGAAAGTATGGATGGATTATGTGAAAGAGGATATGCTTAAGAAAGGTGTGGATTTAGATATGACGGCTGATAGAAATGTATGGAAGAGCAGCACATACTGTGCCGACCCTATGTAGGGGTAAGGGCAAGTTGATGATGTCTCGTTTAAAACATTCAAACGATAGCATTTGAGGTGTGTCACCGCCAGTTTCCTCGACTGTACAAAGTATGAAAGTATGTGATAAATCAAGTAAGACAGTTTCAAAATTTATTAAAAGTCTCGCTCCGCACATGCATATGTCAAACAAATTGCTCCTTCAAATACTTTTATTCGTTCATCGTTCACAAAAGCTATTACGTCTAGTACTATTACAGTCATACGGTATTCTTTTAGTATTCAGTCATCGTTCACTTTTGAATGCCTTTAACACGTTATATCGTTCGCACGTTCTATAACTAGGGAACATTATATTAAAAACGTTACCAACTTTAGCAGACAGATGGTACGAATGTTCCTGTTAGAAGCTGCAATTCTGAACATGAGCCAGAAGTTGATATGCGACCGGCTATCGAATTTTATTACTGTATCGTCATATTGCGACCCCATTTCTGCAACTCTGTGAGCGTGCTTCGTTTCGCAGTCACAAAATGGCGATTTGAAAATGTCAATATTATTGCATTTAAATTGAAATTGCTTGTACTATAGTTTAAATAAATAATATAGCAATAATCTTTTCTCCGGGTAAATCAACAGAGAAAACACGATTATATGTTTTCAAATATGACATTAACAATTAACATTATACCTAAGTATACAGACCATTATGGAACTAGAATATCCAACCATAACCATGATTATTACAAAAAATGCTTAATAAATTGTTTGAACTTTCGTGAGAAATTATGTTAAACGATAACTAGTCGAAGCCGTCACCCGAAGATCAAACGTGAGTTGAGCCGTCTTTAATAAATTGCTTATTTACAGATTATCACAACATAGTATTAATCAGTTTATGTTGGCACCTAGGCCACTATAAACAGTAGCTGGT